GGGCAACGAAGCTGGTCAGGGGACTGGAGAACAGATCATATGAGGACTGTTTGAAGGCGTCAGGCCTGTTTAGTTTGAGGAAGAGGAGGCTGAGGAGAGACCTCATCACTCTCTACAATTACCTGAAAGGACATTGTGGAGAGGTTGGTGCTGGTCTCTTTTCTCGGGTAATTAGTGACAGAACTAGAGGGAACAGCTTCAAGCTTAAACAAGGTAGGTTTAGACTAGAGACTAGGAAGAAGTTCTTCATGGAGAGAGTTGTGGGATATTGGAACAGGCTGCCCAGGGAGGTGGTTGAGTCGCCATCCCTGGATGTGTTTAAGCATCGCTTGGATGTGGTGTTGCGTGATATGGTCTAGGGGTGAACTTGCAAGTAGGGTTAATGGTTGGACTCGATGATCCCAAGGGTCTTTTCCAACCTGGATGATTCTGTGTGATTCTGTTATTAGAGTAACAACTGACATTAACCTTTGAAATAAAGAAAAACCACTATTTAAAGTCAGAAATAAAAAAACCATTGTTTCATTTCCGAAATCCTCACATAAGTACCTTTTGAAGCTCCTAAAATAGAGAAAAGGAATAAAAGCAATGAAAAGAGACAGGACATCAACTTTCACATGCACCTTGTTTTCCATGTGTTTTTTTTATATCACCCCCTATCTCCCCATCCCCTCTCTCAGAGCTGTATTTCATTTAAGAAGTTTTTTATTACAGGTTGGCAGTAGTTAATGAAAATAAACTGGAAAGCAGGATTTCCCTATTGTATGCTGTACAGTTCTTAACACCTACTAATAATTAAAATTTAAATTATTTTGGACACACTAGTACAATTTTGCTTCTTGAGAGGAAAAGAGTTAAGTCTGTTTAAAACTAACGTCTTTTGCTGGCAGATACACAATTTTACAAAAACTGCCCAAGTCAGGAAGGAAGCAATCTTGATGCACATTTATCTTTCAATAGTGCACAAACCACAAAACAAATATTAAAAAGTGAAACAGTGAAACAAATATTAAAATCTTGTTCTAATCTAAGCAAGGACTTCAAGACTGCATCTACCATTGTTTCAACAGATAATGGCAATGACCAAGCACAATGAACATTTATACAATATCAAAACCACAAGCTTCAAGTAGAATCCATCCAATTAAAAAGAACTTATCAATTTACATATCTAAGTACTGCTGCTGAGGAATAGCCTCAAAAGAAGACCTAGTAACCCCAGCCATCTTTTCTATTAATACAAATGAGTAACAACTTTTGAAAACAGGAACGTGGAGATTAATGTGCAGCTTTAACAACTACAGGCATGCCATTTGAAACACAGAATTCTACTGTTCTACTGTCCAGAATATCCTTAAAACCTCAAACATTTTAAGAAGTTGTCTGCCAAGAGAATAATTCAGATTAGAAAATAATATATATCCACAAGCTCAACTCTGGCCTTTCTAAATTAAGGGCAATGTGTTCAGATCCTCAGATCTGAACCTCCAGTACCCAATCAGGGTGTTTCCAGGCAAGCCTCTCAAACATCCAAAAGGAAGGCAAAAGCACTCAGTAGCTACATTTGTATTTTCAGAACAATACACATGAAACTGCTTTGCCTGCTTTTATACTTTGGAAGCATTTATGTTATGATTAGCACTCTCCCTACACCCAAAATACTCAAATAGCCAGAAATGAATGGGCGCAATAGGTAGTTTTGCTGAGAAGGGAACAGCAATCTAGCCAAAAGGCTTCCACTGCACTCATCATCTAAGATGCGTGTTGTTTAAGCACCTTAAGAGGCTGGCTAATGTATGAAGTAACTGGTCTATAATGTCTACAAAGTGGTTACTTTCAGTAATTTAGATTTCTTTTTTATATACCCACCTCAAATACTGAAAGGTCATTTCTTCTGTAGATTTCATTGGTGGGGGGATGAAACCAGCCACATTTCTTTGAGTGCCTTAACAAAATGTTTTTACTTTTCATGTATTTAAGACAGAATTCACACAGGTAAAGCTTTGGTAATCTGTAAGAAAATTAGAAAGATGTTTTATACCAAAAAACTGTTAAATTCTGTAAACAAAAAAGTTACCACAAAATGAAAGGCCCTCTCCATTAAAATATAAGGCACCATAACTCTCTGGGTTCCCTTCCAACCTAAGACAGTCTATGATTCTAGGTTAAGTAAATGCTGATTAAGTTTATATAAATAAATTACTAATTCACTCTAAAGTGATATTTAATATACACACATCAGCCATGACAAAAGGAAGATAGAAGATCAGATTCAATCAATCACAGGGAACCTAATTCAACAGAGTTGAACTGTGGTGAGCTGTTTTGTGGTCCAATCTCTGGCAGATCCCAGTTACTTCCCCTTCTCACATTCCACCTCCATTTCTGCTGCGCTCTCCATCAGAGCAGGCACACCAGAGTCATACCTCGAATTTCACCCTTCTTCCAGTGAAGACAAGGGAGGCACACAGCAGAATATAAGGCATCTCCTCTTTTATTTCCCTCATGTAATCTGTGGGGAAGGCCAGCAAATCATCTCCACCTAAATTATCACTTTACTTGAAAACTGTTTGGATGGGCCTCTGTGTTCACACACGGAGGGGGCGGGGAGAAGTCTCCCTTCCACACATCTCCATGACACAGGCAACGCAGATGCTCGTACTCCTCTGGGAAGGATTCAGTTCAAACTACACCGAAGTAACACACATGTCCTGTGTAAGACAATACTGACAAGTGTTCTACAAAAAACACTCCTTTCAGTGAATTTTACAACTATTTATATTCATTTTAAAATTACTGAAGCAGTGTAATTCTCCTGCAGGAATTATGCCTACAAAGCTTTAGAGCAGAAGAAAATCTTTATCTGTTTCGAAGCTACTGGCACATCCTGGGATCACACTGGGATCATAGCCATGGTTTACACTACTCTTGTATTCTAAGAAAGTTTATTAACAACCTAAGTAGTTTGAACTGTTTGTTCCATGATGTAATCCCACTGCACTCACAGCCGAGAACCGCACTGTCTCCTACATCCCACTACTGCCTCATTAATAATTACCCATCATTATGCCTCTATCTGCGACTAATTTACCAGATGGAACAACTAACTCTGTCTTTCACAATATGATATAAATTATAGAAAGTAACTAAAACTTTAACACAATAAAAGCAGTGGTAATAAGTAATAGAAATACTCTCCACCCTTTTTTCACTCCTTGATTTTTATACTACAAATTCACAATATCTCTCTCATTCCCACCCCACAAAGATGACAATAACTAGAAATCAGAGGAATGTAGAGAAAAGGCAGTTTACAACACTGCTATGCAAACATGTCACAACATGGTTGCTTGCCATAGCAGTAGATCTTGACAAACCCAGTTCTGAAAAATCTCTCTGTGAGTCATAGATCCAACAGATTCACAAAACATTTTCAGCACATGCAAAAATCAGCAGAGACCTGCTGAGCACACGTCCAAGTTCATTCTCTGTCAGACCGCAAGGTGTGCCCGGCCAAAGAAGGCCTGAAATGAGACACTGTTGTCACAACTTGCTCACTTTGACTATATTTGTTTAGTCAGACTTCTTCCTGGTCTCTAGAAAAAGGAGGTTAAATTCTGGATGACAAACAAAATTAATTGCTCTAAACAGCCAGAAGTTGGGCATATCCAGTTGCAATGGTTAAAAAAAAACAAACAGAAAACCCAACAAAAAACCCCCACAAAAACAAAACAATATACCCATGCCAATGTGCGCTTAGGCAGGACAAGAAAATCAAGTCTTTTTAATGCATCTTTGATTAGGAAATAGTAAAAGGGAAAAAAAAAAGACAAAACTTGGTTCTCACTTAGAAGAGCATATTGACTTTTAAAAGTTGTAAATCCAACTATTACAAAACAGTAAGAAAATAAATTACAAATCATCACATTAGTAAAAATTCCAAGAATGTATTACTATCTTGACAACTCCCTACCTTGCATATTCCTGTGGGTAAGGTGAAGAGTACCAGGTCTGGATCTCGTATTTTCCAAACTCAATCACTGAAGGGTATCGCCCACTTGTTTCACCAGTGTTTTTACACCCAATTTTCTGTCAGATGAAATAAAAACAAACTATTAGATATAAAAAAAGTAAAAGCAAGTTAGCTTTACGTAAGCAGTTTCACCCAGTGAAAGTGTGACAAAACTGAAGCATTCAATTTACTTGGTTTCAATCTTCCAAACCACACAGAGGACAGTTTGCAAATAGCCAAATACAAACTGTGAAAATTTCTTCCAAGGTGCCAAACAACTCACCAGGAAGTTCAGGACGCAGCGCTTTCAAGGAAGCACATACGAAGAGATGGCACAAGGCCCATCCAAATATGAGGCACAAGTGCCTCGGTCCTCCCACAGCATCTAGTGTGAGGATTTCTCTCAAGTTCTGGTTCAAACTCAAAGCCGCCTTTTGGTCAAAACTATGAGGGAGAAGGCATCAGCAGAACCCTTCTAGAATCCTTGGAATTTACCTCAGAACAGTCTCAACAGCACACACCAATCTCAGCTATCATACTGAAATTGAGCTGACCAGGAAATGACTGCTAAGGGTCTGGAAGGGCTGGTGAAAAAAAAGGAAGAAAGGTGTGTGGGGGAGGGATGTAATTTCAAGGCTACAAATTTTAGAAATCTTAGCACCTAACATTTTTCAGACTGCATATGAAATCAAAGAAAGTAGGAAGTCGGAACTACTTCCATAAGCAAATGGAAGTAAAACCTAATAACAAAGCTGATATTTTAAACTTGGTTTGAGTTTGTTGGTTAATGCACTCTGAATTAAGGCTATAAAAATATCACTGAACTGACACATAGCAGATAATGTCGGCTCTTTTACACTAAGCTTGAAAAAAACCGAAGTGACTTCCATTACTGAAAAAAGCACAAGACAAACTCATTTATGATGCGATTTTATAAAAATAAGTAGTTGAAACATTACATGTACTTCCCTTCCAACCCAGGTTCTCAAAGACACTGGTTGCTGATTTCATAGACAGAGAAAAGGAAAAGTCTGTTTTCCTACAGGAAGATTCAGCTGCCTTATCCAGCTCCCTTGGCAAAAAACCAAAACCAATCAAACAAAAAAGCTCGGTCTCCACAAGCTTTAGATTAGCACTACTTACCTTAAAGAAGAGCATTAGAACCAGCTGGTATAAACAGTTTTAGACAGATTCAGCTCAAATATTTTCACAGGTAGAAAAAGCCTACGGTATTTAAACTCAGAGCGTGTTAAATCACTGGGTTAAATGAAATTATGAACTCACTAAACTCTGTTTCTTACTGAACAATATTTGTTGGGACAGACTTAACTTTTCACAGTGGCTGCTTTATTTACAGAGAAAAGTCATCAGGCACATTTTTACCGACCAAGATCCTCTCAGACTTCACCAGGATGTCAGCTACGTTTAATCTCTGTTTTATCAGCGGTAGTCCTGTGTCCAAAATGCTCAAGTGTATCTTTCAAAATCTATCCCAAGTGTCACTTATCATCTGACCCATTGCAGTGTGATGTCTCGTCTCCTATCTAGAAGAATGTAACTGTATATACAATGTCTCCCAAACTAAATTCACAGCAAGCATAACGCATCAGATCAAAGGGAATATATTAAAAATGAAGACAGATAGACATACAAAAATTAACTGAGTCTTTATTTACCGAAGTAACATTTTATGTAACACAATTCTTACCTCAAGGGAAAGTTCTCGAGCCTGCTTAAATACTTCCAAATCCTCTTGTGTAACACTGTCCTTGCTTCCCACCAGATACACATCGGTATTTTCTTGTTTGATGCTTAGTTTGATTTCAGTATCTGTTATTTAAAACCAGCAAAAAGTTTATTCACAGACATGAAGGTTACATGTGCCTTACCAAAGTGATACTCCTAAACAGGACTGTAGTAACTATGGTTGTTGCCACTCCTCATTTTAACTAAATTTCGAATTACTAAGTAATAAAAATGAAACCTTCTCCCCTTCTGGTTTTGTAGTTTGCTGCTGCATGAGCTATTTTTGGTACTTGCTTGTCTGTCTATATAAGCGTTTACAGTCAAGTTCTACTAAATCAGCTCTGAACCTCGTGAAATGGAGTATACTCCATCACTAGAACTATGCTGCTTCATAAATTCTAGTATATTCTACGAGGTAAGAGGGAAAAAAAGTCGCCCTTAAAAGTTGGAGACCAATGCTAAGTGCAGTCTACATTCAAACACCATAAATATCTTTTTTCTTAAATAAAAGTAACTATAACAAGGTAGTTCACAGCAGTATAGATCAAGTGTTGTGGAGACTGTAGCAGGATGGAGTTGTTTATGGAAAAGCAATGGAGCAGAGGGACATGAACTGAAATGCCCACCATTACAGGCACCGACAGCACACAACCATGATGAGAGCACGACTGTCAGAGAAAGGGCAGGAGAAGAACACGGAAGTAGCATGAAGAGTGGCTACTCATGCGGTACTACACAGCCATAAGCAACATTATGACAGCACCTGGGGCTCCTAGTGTCACTACAGATGCAAAAAATAACGAAAAGGTGGTGTGGGTATTAGTCAGAAAAAAAAAAAACAAAAACATCTTGGAGATTTAGTCAGCATTAGATAAAAGGTCAAAGTTTTGTTGTTTTTGCATGAAAGTGAAATAAGAACAAGAGAAATAGCTAAGACCTATGTGATAATATAAGAATTTTGGTTTTGGACGGGACGCAGGTTTGGTTGGCGCTTTGACCTTTGCTTACCATCATCCTGATCAGGTTTAATCCTTCCGTCTGCCAAGCTCCCCTTCCCTGGTGAGGGGGTCCCCATCTGAGGGGTCACTTTATACTTTAATCTGCCTAGAATCCTGTGCTTTTTAAGGAAAGTTGTTCTCTTGAGGTGACCAATCACTTTAAAAGCACGTCCTCTAGACACACCCCATCCAGAGGTACAGGCATGAGAAACAAACCTACTCCTAACCTCTTTCCTTCCATAGAAGCAGCTATTAGACTTTGATGTGGAAGATAACTCTGGTTTACGACGCAAACGCTTGGGTGGTGCATAGCTCGGGTGTCCCTTTTTTCGAGACTGTCCCTGAGTGGTATAGATATGAGAGAGTCCATCAAAGAGTCCCTTTAGCTGACTGTTATTAGGAAGGCTACTAAAGGAGGGTATGCTTGACTGACTGGAAGAACTCTGGGGAGAGTTAGAAGTAGTGCTGGATTTTTGTGAACTGGGACTCTGACCAGAGATGGGGGTTGGGGGTAGAAGTGAAGAAGGTGGAGGTTTTAGCTTTTGTGTGGTACCTGTAGCCAACACAAGAGAAGTGCATGACTGTTTCTGAGAGACCTTTTTCCTTGGACGATAGTGCTTTGAAAAGTCTATTATTTCACCTCGTGATCTGCGACCATCAGGTGATGGGGTAAAGAACTTAGTAAGGCCATCAATGAGCCCTTTGGTTTTCTTGTTAACTTTAAGTGTAGAGGCAGGTATGTAGGTGGAGGTGGTGGTGATTTTGGTGGTGGCACCAGGCCGAGTGGGGTCTGTAACAGGCAATCTGCTGCTTGAATCCTTCACAGATGCAGCATGACCAGATGAAGGTGTGGTACAGACTTTAGTCTTTTGACCCCTACCAGGTGACCCCCTTCCTGTGAATGCATTCACGGATCCTTCATCACTGGTTACAGACCTATGCAAGAATTTGGAAAATAAAAATCAGTATTAAAAACCTGTAACTATTGCCAAACTGTATTACAGTTTATACAATTTACTTATGCCACTGTACTTAATCTTTAAGGAGATTTAAAGACATATACATTTGGAAATACATTTCACATATGACATAACATCCAACTACCTTTTCTTCCCTCCTTTTTTGGTGTCCCTCCCACTCCCCCATCCCTCTAAAAGACAGCCCACAGCACATATAAATAGAAGCAGCTGAGACAGATCTCTCAAGTATACAGCCTCCCCACCTACTTTTAGGCATGACATAAATGTGCTTCTCTGGAGAAAAGTCATTAATGCATATCCACATGTGAGCAAAATAACTGCTCTACCACCACAGTTTATTGTGCACACGAAGGAGATGCACGTGTTCAATGTTAATAAATTACCGCATATCAAAATACTTCAGATTACATTTGCTTAAACTATAAAGTCTAATAGTCCTTTAAACCAGAGCAGTCAGTTTTCAAGAAACTCCTATTTCTTCCACATTCTTGTCAGATTATGTCTGTCAACACTAGAAATAAAAATTACTGTCAAAAGCCTAAAAGCAAAATGAGGTAGTTTGTGAAGAGCATTACAATAAAACCCACGAAACAGACTTTGCTTTCTTTAGAAATTGTAATAATAGCTAAAACAAAAATAGCGAAGAAAAAGAAAGAGTAAAACTGTAAGACCAAGTGCTGTTTGCAAAAGAGCTGTAAACCAATCAGGCCTACTGTGGAAGGTGTTAAGAAGGAAGAGCAGTGAATGTGATTTAAATGCTAGGAAGAAAAAGGGCATACTGAGAGCCAGTATTTGTGACACCAGAAGTACAGGTTTAGCTGGCTGTCAAGGCCTGAAGAGAGGAACAACAACAGAATGATATGCAGAAGTAGAAAGAGAATGTTTAAAAATATTTGCAGTAAAACAAATACGTATCGGGAGGCATGATCGAATTGCAAATCCAAACAAAGCTATAAAGTTGCATCAAATACTTCCATTTCCCTTTCTATCCTGCTCTTTGAAGTTAGCTTATTTACTTCACAGCTGAAAGTTTTTTTCCACAGATTTTTGCTTCTTAACTGAGATGCTCAAGTAATTAATTCCAACAGGTTACTTTAATTAGAGATTGAACAGCCTGGGGCTACCATCTGGTTTGCTGAACTCCAAGGGCCCACCAGTTTAAGAACTAGCCCCTTTTCCACTCACACATCCTTAAATCTAGTTAGTTCCTTCCTAGGAGGCAACAAAACCAAAATCTTCTAAGTCTTTTGAATCCTTTGGTGCCACGAGCTTACGTCTATCACAAGACTTACTCTCACTACCAGATGTAGTAACCACCATCAATGCCAGAGGCCAACACACACCTGGTTTTAGTTAATCCTACACAGTAATTTGCTTGTGAAGGGCTTCCTACAGATGGTCAACAGACAAAAAATTTATTCCACTACTTCTGGACAGATTTTCTTTGTAGTACACAAACCAAACTAAATGGAGCTGGCTAACCTTCTTGTATTTCATGCGACCACACACTTTCACATAGGGCACTGTCATTTTCTGTACGCCTCAATCACTTTTAAATTGGGTTCCATGAGGAAGAGTGTTTTCTCTTATCCCATCTCTTAACCACTATTTCTCCAAAAGAAGATGGTTTTGTTTTATACATACATTTGACATTGAAGTGATAGAAATGTGCCCACAGTATTGCAAATATCTATTATACAAAGAACCCCCCGCCAAGTACTACTCTAACATGCTCATGTGCAACAAAGAAAATCTTCATAAATATATTCACAATCATCCATTGCCAAGAGAAATTCTGCATCCTTTACCATGACATTTATTTTACAAGTTGTAGCTCAGAATCCCACGAACAAAATCTAACAATAAAACCCTCCTAACCTTTCTTTTCCGTGTATGAGTAAAGAGAAGCAGAATTACTGCGTCAGATAGACATTCCTGCAAAATCCACTGTGGGAACTCAAATCAGGGATGTTTTTAGTGAGATACGAAGTCAGTATTGTATTAGAACCCTAACCTCCAGCTGAAGGCTTCAGACTTTTCAAAGGGGTAAAACCAGAGGTGTAGCTAGAGACAGAGTTTTAGTTAGTTATATACAATTGTATCTAGAAATTTCAGTTGAAACACAAAATTGCATGTTTATTTCAAGGACCTTCAAACTCCCAAGTTATTTACGAAGGAGGAGAATAGAGAAGTGAAAGAATGTTTTACCCACTCTTTCTTTTACAGCATGCTCTCAAGAGCCACTACAACTACATCTTTTAACTTCAGGTAGTGCCACGCTTCATCCTTGTCGTGTACTACCTTCCTATAGTACAGGACTTTTCTAGAGTTAAATCATTTCAGTATATACCAAACCTTAGGAAAAGGACCAAAAAGGTAAGAAAAGAGATCCTGGCAGAGAAAGAGAGGAAATAAAAGGCAGCAAGCTGCAGTGTTCCAAGTACATCAACATGACTAGCATGCTGTATGCCACTACTGTGAGTAGACTTTCTTCCTTCTATTTTCACATGTTGGCTCCACTGGCTCCAGAAATCGTTATTTTGCAAACTGCCAAGTTTTACAGCAGCCACCATACAACTTTAGGGAATACAAGGCAGGTATTTAGATTATAGAGAAAAATGGTTGGGGTAACAGCCACATGACAGAATGAGTAGTATATAGAGCCAGAAAGCTTTTCAGCTGCTGAGTCAACGTGGCCAAACAGGAAGTTAAATAGTGGGAGAAGAAAGGTGCATGTGGATAGGAACATGCGATGGAGGGCAACATGCTATTGGAATTAACAAAGAGTCTGTTCCTGTTTAATGGTCAGTGGAACGTTAGCTCAGCATTTGAACACTAGTTAAACAATTCTCCAACCAAGCCTTAAGATGTCCAACTACAGCGTTCCCTGGAAAGACAGATGCCAAAAGAATTACAGCACACCCTTGTCTTAGATAAACACATTCCTGAGAAGCAAGATGAACGGCAACCTCCTTCTCTAATAACCAGTGGCAGCTTAACAGCAGAATTCAAGTAATAATTTCTTCCAGAGTACCCCTGAAACTAAAACTTCTGTAGTACTTGCACAGTTCACCTTCTGAAATGGGTTTTGTGAGCTGATACTGAAGTAATTTTCATAAAATTTTTGAACAGGTCTCTGAGCAGAACAGTCTACGGAAGTTGGATATAAGTAACTCACTATTATACACTTTATTATAGATTCTGTACATAATTTCCATTATTTGAAGTTACACTTAAAATTGCTGTGGCATATGTTATCATACAGACTTTTATTTGAATCTCCTATGGGTAGAAGTTATCTTAAAAAATTATGGGATCTAGAAAAGTATCTTACAGGAAGCTTTTTGATCACTTCTGACATGACAAAAAACCCAGCCACTAAAATAATGAAGTTATTGGTCATTGTGCTGAAAGGCATAGAATACCTGTCACCTTTCCCCAACTGGAAACACAGTTAAAAATTGCAGTTGAACCTGCACCAACTCTTATCTGACTACATTCTCAGAAACATTGGAAAAAAATAAATAAATCTAGAAACCTACAACATTCGTTGCTTTAGTTTATTTTTCGGTCGTCCAATAGGTTTTGCATATCGTCGTCTTATTTGGGCAGCTTTCTCATGAAGTAGCTTTCTCCCTTTCTTCTTTGGTCTACAGACCTGGCAAATCCACATCCCTACGTAAAGGAAAAAAAACGTTTAATTGTAGAGTTTGTTTAATCCTTTCTGCAAGTGTCTACCAAAATAAATGCCAAGTACACAAGGTCAATAAATTATATTATGAACAGGACATACAGAAGGGGAAGTGGATAGAGAAAAGAGATCCATTTCTACCCATACTTTTAAATTTTTTGAAAACAAAAGTGCTTATGGAGAGAGGGGAAGGGGGGAAAGAGGCAACAAGGATCACAGAAAACATTGTGAACAAATGGGTTTTTAGAAGAATTTCTGTTCTAGCCTGTCCCTCCTTACAGTACCTAGATCTTTATTCAGATACAATTAAGATGAGAAAAAAAATTACATGTACATTACAAAGCAATCTAGGACAGAGTGTGACAAAGAAAATACCACATCACAGCTAGCTATATTTGGTTTAATATAAAACAATTTCAATTTGGCATCCTTTTACCATTAGATGACCATGTCTGAAATTTACTTGCTATAGATAAGGCTGGGGATTTGAGGGGCAGGGAGAAAGCTGGAAAAAGACTCGCAGTGTAACTTTAAGAGTAAATAGGGAAAGCCATGAAAATGTGAGAGCAGACATGAGAGGTGCTACATATCGGAAATCTAGAGATTAGAGAATCTGAAGACACAGGTGTTTTGTTTGTTTTGTTTCAATTACTTGTTTTTCAAACTACTCTTACAAGAGGCATGAAGAAACAGGCTCTTTCACCTGCTATGAAGATTCCTTTTTCACCATATATACTCCAAACATTTTAACAGCCTTCATAACATTTCACCTTTAATAAACTGGCCAACAATTCAATACACAGTGAATTCATCTGGTCAAATGACCATACACCTTTACTATTTTCCTGAGCAAAAAGATCTCAGGAAAAAAAAAACAAAAAAAAAACTTTGACATGTCTGAAAACATTATTGTTTACCAATACAAAAATAATTAGCATGATCAAGAGCTTTTGGTCACTTAATATGAGAAAGACTGTGAATGAAAGCATTTTCATTGAAAGGATTTTTATTATCACCTTTTGGCATTCGGGAAAGTGGTGGGTCACAGCACTCCATGTGGAACCCTCTATCACAGGAGTCGCAAAAAAGCATGTTATCCTGAAGGGGGGTGGGGGGGAAGGGGAAGGGAGGAGGAAGAGGAAAAAAAGACTTAATACAGCATTGCTTGAAGTTGTACAACAGTGATTTGTACTTGAACACATGCTAAGTATAGAGCTACAGCAAACAACGAAAAGCCAGATAACGCTCAACAGTCTAACTTACTGCATTTTTGCCTTGGATCCTACATGCACTGCATGTCTTGCACTCAATACACTGCCATCTTAAGGCCTTCACATTTGTTGTTAACTCAGGACAAAATTTCAAACATGATGGATGTCCTAAAAAAACCAAAATATTTAAAGCTTGAGATTTAAGATTGTTACATTTGTTTCTTCAGTTCAACAAGATGTAGCCAGCACCACCAGAACCCTGCAAGAATCAGCTGTTTTTTAACGTTATTTAACTCATTTACTTCATAGGAAGATACAGAATAAGTGTTATAAAACTCATTCATAGAGAGGTACAAGTTGACTTTCACTGTAACTGACATCTGTGAGCACCTATACAAGCACTAGGCTATTTACATAGCATTTTAAACTGCCATTAGTTCTGAAAAAGGTATTTTTACAATTTTGACTCTACTCCTCTTTCAGAGCAGTGCAATACAGAGGAAATCTTTAGATAAAACCCTATTATTTTTCTAAATATACCAAGTATCTAGTGAGAGAAAGTTATTAGTCAAACTATGTGCATTTTTTATTCCAACTTATCAACTTATTAATTATATAGAAAACACAATTTCATAGCAGTAAGAAGCAAAAAAATGAAGCAGGTAATTGGCACAAGAAAAGCTTACTTGATAGGAAGACTTAAAATTTGGTGTGGGGGGGCAAAGATTAGCAGAACTACCATGTCCCACAAAACTGTATCTTACTCCGTTGGTAGGACCATTCTCTTCTCACGGTAGCCTAGAATGCCTACATGGCTTTTCCAATTAACAGAAGATCAGACAACTGAACACATAAACCACCTTAGGCAATACTGGTGGTTTTTTTCACATCTTCAACAATGTCAGTAGAGCGTATCCTTAAAAGATAAAGGCACTACTAGATAGGAAGGGACAAGCCCTCCCAGGGCAACACTTATTGCCGGTATTACATTCAGAGATTATCAAGGACATCAACCCCCAAGTTGTTGGAGAGATAAGACTCCCTGATGCCATGCTGCACTCAGAGATGGCTGCAGTGATACAATGCACAGGAAGGATGCTTTCTTCTCCTCGTCAGTCGGGATATGCACTTTCTTCCAGGTTATGGTCTAGTCATGGTGATTCAGACTTTCTCCACCCACTGCTTCTCAGTCCAAGGCTGAGCTAAACCACCACAGACAGGAATACAGGCTAACCCAGGAGCATTTGCTATTTTCATCTTCTGACTGAGACACAAATGGCAAAGATGACTGATGCAATGCAAAAGTCACATGAAGTAAGGACAATTTTTCAGATTTTATCCCTTTTATTGTATGTATCCAAGACTTAATCCACTTTCTGTTAAACTTTAAAGGACAACTTAGATTGTGTAAATCTAGCATATTCTTAAAATAAAATGCAGCAATATAATCTATTAATAAAGAATAATCAATGATAAATTCAAGGATTACTTTCATAAACAAAGATATGGAAAAAACATTGTAATTTGACTCAGCAAATAGTTTAAGAAACTTTAACAAATTTTTGTGGTTAAAACCAAGTATATGCTTAAAATGTCTATTTCACTTGAAAGTGACAAGTATAATCCATAACTGCATAGTTGAGTTCGATGATACACTGTTGCCTTTAATGAATCTTAATAAGTGCTTCATTTAAAAAAAATCTGCTAAGAAATAAAACTCCCTAGAGTGGCTGATATTAATAATAAATATCACAGACAGACTTATTTCATCAACCATGATTTAACAACTTTATTAACATATTAAAATGTAATCATAAACCAATTACCTCCCTATAAGTCCATTTAATTCCAGTTATCTACCCTGCACAGAAGGGATTTACTTCAAGAGGAAGTAAGTTGTGGTTTAAATTGTTGATTTTAACTTTGCCTTAAGTAAATAATTAGGAAGTATAAACATAAGAAACGACCATTCTCACTGGTTGGTAATTACACACAGGTTAGGTGTAAAAGGGCTACTGTATTTCTCTTATCTATTAACTTAACATTTCTCATTCAAGCAATTACACAGCTATCCACAGCTGTTAATATCCTTAAGTGTTAGACTTTACTAATGGGCAAAAATTCAATAGAAGAAATTATTGGTATTAAGTATGAAGATTCTGCCTGCAACTCCAAGTTCCCGAGCCACAAATAACTAGACGCTGGAAAAGTGCAAACAGGAACCATCACTATACATTTGCCACGTGCTTCTTCTGTCTTTCCTAGGTACGCCCCAGCAGAGAGAGCAGAAAGTTTCAAGTTTCAAAACACTATGTGGTATTTGACTTTAATAGTTGATAATATTTACATTCTTTTAGACGCAACTTGATACAGTGCAAATAAAACAGCAACAAGCAGAGCAACAAGCAACAAGCAACACTTTTAAACAGGATTCAGTTTAATTACTTTCATAGTTTAACAAATTTCTGCAGTCAGTTCGATAGAGCCACTGTGACACCTTCAGTGATTTTACAACCAATTTGAAAGACCTGAAGAGGAGAAGCATATTTCTGGTTTAGAAATTTGCAGTATTTCAACTTCAACTGATCTAAACCAGAATCGAGAATATATTATCTTCTCTGTATCCACAAGCTGATATATCTGCCAAGAGGTTTTTGACACTTGATCGATTTTTAGTTTGAAGTGTTTCACATGGTAATTTCTCCTGGTTCAAGTACTTGACTTTATTTCAAACCTCGCCAGCATCAATATTTTAATGAGCTGCATAAATTTAAGAAATTACTGGAAATTTAGACCTTTGAAAGCCAGAAATTCCCACCAGGAATACATACAAGCTTACTTTAAAATAAAGCCCTGAATTTTACAGTGTTTAATTTTTAATTTTTTCCATCTCTGTTAGAAAAGGTTAAGACTTGTGATACGTTGATGTGGCAGAAATAAGCGAAAACTGAACATCTCACTCCTTCGTGACTGAAGGCAACTCCTTTAACCTGCCCTCTTCTGTCTTCTCACTGCAAATTTGGACTTTGTTTATTCTTCAAAGAATATGACAAGTCAAGTCTTTCAGAAGAAAGACTATTACATCAGTGACAACAATTATCTACAGCGCTAAATGAGATATGCTAATATCTCCAGTTATTTTTAGCTTTGACACAAATGTTGGGAACTAACATGTAAGACAGTTCACAAAAAGCCCCAACCTTCTGTTCAATAACCTTTTAGGTAGGAAGCATTATTATTTAGAGCGACTTTAGCTATGAGCACAGAGGATCAGTGCACCTGTCTCAGGCATGTAGTAGGTTTTTCCACCTGCATGTTTCTTAGCAGTTTGCTTTATTCAACTAGCCAACATCTTCCCACAGAGAGTAATAATAAAGACAACTCCCATATTCCCTTTTTCTAAAGCATCTCCTAAATCTGCTTTATAAAGCAATCTCCACACAGTCCTTTCCAAACATCTCTGTCCCTATTCCTCTTGATCTGTCTTCGATGTCTTTATTCCGCTCTCTAGTCTTCCCTATCCATCTTTCATGCGTAACCCTCTCCTGCCTTCTCAGCCTAACACACTATTTGTTTCGAAGAGCAGTACTGACAGGTATTCTACTTTTAGCTTCTTTCCCCTCTTTAAGAAAGTATTTACTACAGTTCCCCAGTAACTCAACTTTTCTTCCTCTTCTTTCTAAAACTTCAACTCCATTTTAAAATAACCTGTCAGCAGCAGCTCTTTGTTTCTGAACCTTCCAACTGTGAAAGCAGAAGTAAGAGTTAGATTCCAGTTCTCGTCCATCAATTTTTCCAAAATCAAAAGATAGGGAGGAAAAAAGCAGGGGGAGGGGTGCGGAAGAAAAGAAAAAGAGCAATATTTGCGTTCATATTAAGATTTGTTTTCTCACATCTGACATCCCTCATCTCACTCCTTGAAAAAACACCCTGTGCAAGTAACATCGCAGTGCATTTCTTTTCCACTGCCCAAATACATTATCTTCCCAAACACTACAAAATAAGAGTAGTATCAATGAAATACGTGAATAGGCAGATAGTTTCTGCTTTCAGAACACAGATGTATTATTTGACAAGACACAAGCAACTGACACAAAAACCTAAAGGAAAGCAGACATGCCAGTAGTGGGCACTGCAATTTAATCTCTGCTCAACTAAACAATTTGCTTGCTATGCACAACATGCAATTTCTTTTATGTTTGTTAGACAGCAAGACAGGCTTCACGATATACTGCAACGTGCGAAATTACAAATTCAATTACAATAAACCTCCACTTGAGTGAAGTCTTGTTATTTATAAATTGCACCGAGATTGGTTTTTATTTTAGTTAGGCATCAGTAGCTAAAGTTTAACCATCCAGCAATCTGATTGGCAGTCTCAACATTTCATTCTTTATATCAAATACATCTGAGGAACTAATTAAAGATAATTTAGTCTTAATGAGGCATAGAGAATGTATCAGTGTTAATTCGAATGGAAGCTGATCCATGAAAGTCAAGACTTCCAGTTCTAAAGCGTTTTAGACCTATCAGGGGATTATCACACAACAGAAGAGTAGCTGATATGTAACATCACCTGATTAATGTAAACTCTGCATACCAGAGTCTAACCAAGCACAAATCCCACTAAATTTCCAAATACTAGAATACAGATTTGAAAAATACAGGAAATGTGTAAGCGATTACAGGAAGACAGTTTAAAATCTATCAGGTTTAATTTTGCATAATGGGGTGACAAAGTTGCTTCTGTACTTCACCATTTAATCATTTGCCTTAAATAGACAAAAAACCCACATGGGTTAAAATACCAAGAATCCATCCAAGGTGACAAAAGCACAGGACCAAAAGCATATTCTGGTTCAGTGAAAACACATTTTTCACCCACACTGTTTTGTTTTAGCAGACTACCTTCAGCACACTTACAAAATGACGGTTCACAGAGACTCTGAATTCAAGACATGGAAACAATTCTTACATTTCCAGCCTTCTCAAAAAGCAGCGCTGGCTGACACAGACCCTACCCCTTCTCTATTCACTTCCCTCCTGAAAGCACTTCCCTCTTCTTCATTCTGGCACAGAAGTTGATCAGGCTCTGCAGAGAACTAGATGGGTGAATTGATCAAACTTGTCGTTCAACTCCATTTGTTCCTCAATCTAGTTTATATGCAACCAGGTGCCAGCACAAAGGGGTTGCACCAAGTAGTTGGATGTTACGGCCCGTGACTTGAGCAGGCTGCTATTTTGTCTTTGAGCCGAGATGTTATGGTCTACATCGCAAAGCCTTACCATAAATACTTCCCAATGCAGTTGTAAGCTTATGGGAGCAAATGTTGGGGTTTTTTACTGATACAGCTAAACAAAAGCAGACCAGTCAACTGACAAATTATACTGTCCAAATAACTGCTTTTCCAGTACAAACTATTTTCCACAGCGGATTTTTTCAGAATAGCTAAACTGGTCAAAGGATTTTCACATCCATAACCCTACAGTCATGTCAGAAAAAGCTTTATGACAGTTGCTGACGAGATTTACTCAAGTTCCTTAGCCTTGCCCTTTATGAATCAGGAATAACCGAGGCCATAAACACATTCAGTATCATATATGCACAAACACTGTGCAAAGCAACAGTGTGCTAGAGTATTTTGTTTTCATATTAACCAGCTGCTCACTTTAATGGGAGCACCTGCATTCAGAACAGCCATATGGATCTGCAAGAGTTTTTGCACCTCACAGGAACAAGGTACATATCATCAGGAGAGTCACTGTCTTGTGCCTGACAAATAACAGGTGCCTAAGAGCTTTAGTATCTTATTTGAAATATTATTCAAATTCCCAATTGAGTTAACAAGAGAAACTTATTAAAAAATGAATTTGATACACAAGATATGCACCAGCTAAGGTTATTATGATGATTACTCCTCAGCTTCTGAACTGCTGTAAACCTGTTCAAGTGAAATTCTTATTGATGTCACAATGCAAACCTGAATTTTCAGATCAAACATAGAATCCAAACAGTAACAGAATTCCTGTACTTTACAAGTGTGGCTTCCCTATTGATTTACTCAGATCTATACTTCTAGCATAAAGACAAATTCACACCTCTCATTTGTAGTTATCTAGATTGACAAAATTTTAATTTTTAAAAAAAAAAAGTTCTCTTCCACACTCTGCTTTGCTTCAGTTCTCAATCTGCGTCTAAGGAAAGGCTAGCATTCAGAAGTTTAAACTATTTTTAATAACTTCAAAATGGACGTAAATATAAACATTTCTAGCATTTGTAAATTCAGCCAACTTACCACTGCTGCCACAGTCTGCACAAGACAACAGCTCTTCTGGTTTTTTTTCACGATTTGACTCTTTCGTTCCCAAACAAAAGCTACATATCGGGATGGGATCAGCTCGTGGCTAGATTTGAAAATAAATAGACAAGAATTAGGTACCAAAATAAATACATTAAAAAAACAAAGAAAAAAATCAAAAAAACCCCACCCAGTCTCAGTGTTGGTTTCTTTCACTTTCACCAGACATTTTGTTGTACCATATATTAATCACCAAGACAAATATACATTTTAGTAACTTCGGAATAACAAAGTTTGTATCATAACATATTTCATAAGCATCATGGCCCATAATAAGAAACTTTGTGTACAAATCCATGTAAACTTCTCCAATACAAGATTACTATTAACAAAAATGAGGAAAAATTAGATCTTAAGACACTGCTCTTGGACACAGTTTCAAATCCAGAACACAGTCACTTGTTCTTCAGATGTAATAGTGCTCAAAGACTGAGATGCAAACTGGCTTTCATGAGAGATCAATGAAGCTCCTTTCCACAAGAAAAACAGGAACTTACACAAAACCTCTCAAATTTAAGACATTCTTTATAACTTTCCATCCAGTACAACTGGCATCTGCCTCTGAAACTACTGGGTTAGGGTAAAAATACTAGATTCAACAGATATGAGCCCTATCAGCTATGATACATAACCATAATAAAAAACTCAGGTAAATCTTTCGATGTCTGGAAGCAATACACTGAACTTTTCAGAAAAAGACTTAAGAATTGATACAAACTTACTTCTCAATCTTCCTAATCTGCTATGTGACAAACTATCAGAGATTAAATGGCCCGAAACAGTTTCTGCAGTAAACTTTAGAGCCTTAATGAAATTACTGACCTGTGTCATTTAAAATATGAATGTATCAATGCCTACACAGATGTATCTGTAAACAGATCTGTAACAAATAAAATGATGTGCAACTATTCCTTGAAGTAGGATACTCTATAAACAATGTAGTACCTTCCCAGACTGGCTTCTAGCAGCTAGTATCACAACAATCCAAAAATTAAAATAGTTTCTTTTGCAAATTCATGGTTTCCAGGTTTAGTTAAGCAATGCTGTTAGTTTTATATAACAAAGTAATTAATTGTTGTTTTCAACTGCAATTTTTACGTTTCCACTCTATGCCACAGTACTTCAAAAAGTGACAAACTTTCCTGCTTGACTTACAAATCTGTATTCCATTACAGTTCTTGGAAGTGGGGAATGCTTGTTTTCAAGGGTATTCCTAAGAATCAGTTCCATGCAGATACGTTCCTATACCTCATCACAACAGAATACAGAAATACTGGAACTAGAGATATAATATCAAGCTCTAGGATCATCTTAAATCAAGCAGCAGATTCCAAATAATATTCTCACTAGCAAGGTAAAATTGTCCTTTTGGCCAAGACGAGCGCACATACCCTTATCCCAGCCTACAACCGCTTCCATAGAAACATACCCTGAGGCACAGGACTTTTTCTCAAAAGACCTCAGAAGGTCTGCTCACTGTTCATCTCTTTGCAACTCAATTATTGGAATACTGACATACTTGTATACCCCAAGGAAAATACATGAAAGATGACCAGAGCCTAAGTATGGAAATGTCTGTTCCCTTACTTTATGTAAAAAAGGAACCACAATATATTATCTTTTTGTAACTAGTAGGAACAAACACTGTCTACAGTCCCTCATCTTACTAAGACCATCATTATAGATTATACGGGGCGCTGAAATATTACATTCCTACTTGAACAAGAATAATTGCTGAAGTTTTAAAACCGGTAGATTTCCAATTTAGTCACACATCAAAAAATTAAAAGAAAATCTATGGATACTCTTTCTCAGTTTTGGCAGGATAGCACTGAATCAAATCAGTAATTCTATAGGTGGAAAAGGACATACCCATCACCTACAGAATTTTTCACTTGCAAGTTAGAAAACTCTGCAGATACAAATAAAAGAAAATGAGTCAGTTACTATTTTTGCCAATAAGATGTAATATTTCAACAGATCTATTTCATCATTATAAACAACTTGTATTCAGAGCAAGATGTTATTAACAAAAAAAATCCCACAAACCAACAACACAAACTATGCCAATAATGTTCAGCATAAAAATGGTCCAGAGCTATCAAAATCTAGCTGTTCACTTGCAGCATCTTGTGGATATCTCTTAACTGCTACTTAAAGTTTAATACAGATAATTTTAAAAGAAAGATTATTCTTTCAGTGGAATCCAGTAAAATCTCCTCTTGGCAACCTTCTCCTTCCCTTTGGTATAACAGTGCTTTAACCATTTCAGAAAGACTCGCTGTGATAAATAATTTATACAACATCACGTATCATTCAAATCCAGGTCCACAATCTCATTTATCTTTCCAAGATTTTTCTTCTTGCTCTAGGAAAAGACATGGCCATTAGCCAACATTCATCTACTACCATATTTCAAACCTTCCCCCCTCCCCCTTTTTTTTTTTTTTTTTTTTAACTGAAGGTAAAATAAAGGACAAAGGTTGTTGGCAGTTCAGGGCTACAAAGACTGATGTTCCCATACCAGCCCTAGTAATAGAGAGCCTGGAAGTCCTATCACCTCAGCACATTAAGTTTCTTCAAAATTTACTGTCTCCAGTATATATTTTGAAGCTATTTACATGAAAAACTGCATTACTGGTTCTGCTGTCTGAGCTACTCAAAGTTAAGAATACACACATTCTTATCAGCACAGTGAAAAAAAAAAAAACCACAAAACACCTAAGTGGATAAACTAAGTGGTTCTTGACTTCATTTTTTTTGTTTGGGTCCTTTTTTGTGTGTGTTTTGGTTTGGTTTTTTTGACTTGACAATGTAATTCAAATAGAAATGCATCTCCTACAGAATCACAGAATTGTTGAGGCTGAAAAAGACCCCTGAGATCATCAAGTCCAGTCATGTTGCCTAGACCATGGCACCAAGTGCCCCATCCAGCCTCTCCTTAAACACCTCCAGGGACGGTGACTCCACCCCTTCCCTGGGCAGTGCATCCCAGTGCCTGAGCACCCTCTCCGTGAGGAAGGGTTTCCTGAGATCCAACCTAAACCTCCCCTGACGCAGTTTCAGGCCGCGCCCTCTCGTCCTGTCACTGGTTGCCCGGGAGAAGAGCCTGACCCCCACCTGACTACAACCTCCCCTCAAGTAGTTGTAGAGAGTGATGAGGTCCCCCCTGAGTCTCCTCTTCTCCAGGCTGAACACCCCCAGCTCCCTCAGCCTCTCCTCACAGGACTTTCCCTCCAGTCCCTTCCCCAGCCTCGTTGTATCTATCTCCTTTGTTAATCACTACATCCTCTTCTAAAATACAGCAATTGGGTATCATTAGCTTCTGAAAGACAATGATTATTCACCTTGAAGGTTAAGTCCATTTCATTTCCGAGAGGAACTAGTTACTCAACACTACAATGTTTTACACCATATTAACCAGTAATATTTCTCTTGTTATTCAACATCAGTTTAAAACAAAAATAGTTTTATCAACTATTTAAGAATCACATTAATTGTGTTACAAAAAGAGTACAGTGCTTGCTCTGTCACAGAAGATGGGTCTGAATAATCTAGTAACATACTATTACTTCCTCAACAAAGTTAATAAACTGAGAAGAACTGTTCATTCCTTTAATTTGGAGAATAAGCTAAATTACAACTTTCAAAAGGGTTTCGTTTTCTAGGTCACTAGAAATTGTACATCCAAATTTAAAAGATTGTCCTATTCAAGTAACTGTATTTCTAACTGGAGTCAGGGCAAATTTGCACAAGATTCATACCTTATAGGAACAGACAGTTGTGTTCAGAAACTGAAGGTTCACAAAATACAAGCAATAGGATTTTTTTTTCCCCAAATGTATATAAGTTTTAAACAGGTTGTATTACTTTACACCGAGAATTTGGTAGGAGGTACCTATTTATTCCTGCTAAACATACAGTACAAATACTAAACTGGCCATTATTTTTAACATTCACAGTAGGAAGTCTCAAATGTATCCCCCCCTTCCCTTCAGGCAAAAATGCAGAGGCAAAATTGCTCCTATAGAAAACCATCACCAACACAACAGCTGGCCAGAACACTCATAAAAGCAATGTGAACTAGAAAAGCTATGCAGGCTCGTTTTCAAGAGCCTGGGTTACTAAAACAGCAAACATAGACTATTTAGTGTCTCTGCTTTAGGCACTATATAAACTTTCACTGTGATCTCATAAAAGCACCACCTTCCTAAAAAAGGTGCTAAAAAGATGAAGAAGTAAGGTCTGCAGTTCAGTTATTCTCAACAAAAATTTAGTATACCATTCAAACGACAATACTTTTTTTTGTGCTGCACAGAAGACTCGACAAACAAACCGAAACTACCAGAACAAGTACCACATTCAAGTGTCTACTCTTAAACAACTAGAGAGAAAGATTGAGACAGTGAAGTTTGAAAGCGACTGCCTTTCATCAGGGCAATGCAAACCCATTACTGACTTCACCTTGGTGTGCCTACATATCCTCAACTTGAGCGATGGGAGAGGACAGATTTGAGCTGTTATCCCACTGTGCAAAGCAGGAATAAACAAATCACGGGAATCAGGGGAAGGTGTAGGGGGCAAGGGGAGACTGCAGGGTGGTGCAGCAGGTGAGGTGGAGGAGGACAGCATCACAGCTCATCATCTTGCATGCATCTGATACAGGGTAGAAATAGGAAGTGCAACCACCCACATAAAGCAAAAGAGAAAATGCATGAGTGACATCATTCACCATAAAGAATCTGAAATACCATCCAAATTTAACATCTGGCAGAGAAGAAAGCAAGCAATTAAATAGCAGAGATGAGTGTTTCCAGATTTAGGTTACTGCAGTGATTAAGAAAAAACACAGGCTATTCAAGGAATACTGTGAGGTTTTCAGGCCTAAGAGGGGTGCTAGCCCCACGTCCACAGACTGGCAAGGACTCATTCATAGTGTCAGAGATGTCAGTGGGGCATTGGATGCTACAGAAACCTTACCTTAAAAAGTTCAGGTTCATCCCCTGCACCCCAATCTCTACTTTAGAATAAGAACACTCGCAAAAT